CGTGATATTAGCCCTGATGTTCACGGTCAACTTGTATAGCGCGCACGATCACGAGTCACCACCGATTCTCCGATTGACTGTAAGATATACCTACCAGCTCGCATACCCAGCAACCGCTCTCTCTGTAGCTATACTCTGAGCCTCGGCGATTTCATCAAAATTATAATTCAAACGCAACCGCAACAACATATCATTTGACGTACTCACAGGCGAACCGAGCGCTGCCTTAATGGATTTTCTAATTAAAGCTTCCAATTTGTCTTTCTCCCTCTTTTTCCAATTTAGCATAGCAGCTACGTAGAAAATATGGCACAAAATGAATGCGTGAACCAAGTGCATCGCACCTTCTTCTCCTTATCCTCTATGCCCGATAAAGATCTTTCGGATAAGTCTTATGGCCTCCTGTGTCTTCTTGGTAATAGGCTAATACACTGAATAGTTATATTATTCGATCCACTTGTTTCATTTACAAAACCAAGGACCTTAATAGCATCGACTTTTGGTACCAATGATCCATTGCTAGTACGAACTGTGATGCAAAGTGTCCCACTTGAGGTTTAGCTTTAACGCATGATATCATAGAGTTAACAGTTAAGTATAGCGTAATCAACTTTTTAAAAGGCTTTTTATCTTCATGCGTACCTGTGTTAAATGCTCCTCAGCTGTGGAAATCGGAAAAAAAAAGGTGAAAAAAAAAAAGAAGCTGGATAGACCAATGCAATGTAATTCATGGAGCTCGGACCACATGCTCGTTTTTCAAAATTTCATTTGAAAGCCCGATGTAATTCCTATATAAATAAAAACACAACCCATATTAAAAATAGGAATTGGACACCATGGCCTGATGTGTGTCACCTTATGAGATTTTTTTGGATTTATGCCACTGAGTAGCATACTAGGATGATAGTGTATACAGCTTGCTTTTATTTATTTTATTTGCAAAATACTGCTAGCCTAAAAAAGGCTGTAAGCAGGAGTGGGAATACAAAGATGATATATATACATACTGCGCAAAAGAAAGCGATAACGGCATGCTTCACACTAGGTACTCTTCTACAGCAATAATATCATCAGTTATATCGATCATCACAGCAGTAGGTAACTACACTGTAACCATTATATTCTAAATGCCAGTAATACATACATGGAATAAAAGAATATATGTATTTCCTTACATATAAGGTGACGATACATAAAGTAGAAACACACAAGTGAACATATACAAAGAAGATTAGTAACTCGTACATTTACACAGTCGTCAAATGAGCCTGAAGTGTTGAAATGAAATCTGCTGTGGTCATGCATTCCACGACATCGGCTGGGAGCTCGTTCCATTCCCTTACTGTTCGTGGGAAAAATGTGTTGTGAAATACATCTGTTCGGCAGTTATAGTCTCGTAGTTTTTTTGAGTGATGAGAACGTGTGATTCGCTTACTTACAGGTTGAATGAAATGATCCCTTTCTATTCCTATTTTATTATGATAAATTTTGTATAGGTACCCTAGTCTTTCCGTGTGGCGTCGTAATTCCAGGGGTTCCAATTCAGCCCTTTCCACTAACGTACTTGCCGATGTCCGCCAGCTGTACATATTAAAAATAAAGCGTACCGATTTTCTTTGAACACTTTCCAAGTGGACAATGTTCCTTTTCGTGTGAGGGTCCCATACTATCGATGCGTATTCGATTATTGGTCGGATAAACGTTTTATAGGCTAATAGCTTCATATCTTGAGGAGCTTGGCGCAAAGTTCGTCTTAAGTATCCTAGTTTAGTTACTGCTTTTTTCTTTATGTAAGAAATGTGCTCATTCCACCGAAGATCCGATGTGAGTATGACACCTAGGTATTTAAAAGATTTTACTTTGGATAATACGCTTCCATTTAAGCTGTAGCTAAGCTGTAGCGGTGAATTCTTTCTAGTTATCCTCATGAGAACGGTCTTTTGGGGGTTAATTTTCATTTGCCAGGTTTCACACCATTTCTCAACGTGCTGAAGAGCTTCTTTTAGTTGGACGTGGTCATGAAGGTTGTCAATTCTGTGATAAATTACGCAGTCATCTGCGAATAGTTTAATTTTGACCGGTATCTGGTCAACTATGTCATTTATAAATATTAGGAAGAATAACGGCCCCAACACCGACCCTTGTGGAACGCCCGACCCGACAGCTGCAGGAGTTGAGCAAACATTATCAATTGAAACACATTGCTGTCTGTGGCGCAAGTAGGCCTCTATCCACGATACTAATGCAGTATTCTTTAGAATTGCCCTAACCTTTATTATTAGTTTTGAATGCGAAACACAATCAAAAGCTTTTTGGAAATCCAAAAAAATCACGTCTATTTGAGATTGAGCATCAATAGCAGCAGCAAAATCATGCACGGTTTCAAGGAGTGCCGTCACTGTAGATTTACCTTTGCGAAAACCATGTTGCCTATTATCAATAAGGTTGTTCTTTTCCAGAAACGACGATATGTGCGCGAAAATTATGTGCTCTAGCGTCTTTGAGCAGGAGCACAGTAGGGAGATTGGCCTGTAACAAGTTACTTGGCGCGAGTCCCCACCTTTCGGTATCGGAATAATTTTACTGTACTTCCATTCTGTTGGTAGTTGAGCTTCTGAGAGCGATTTTTTAAATATTAAACATAAGTACTTGGAGCACCATTCAGCGTACCTGACTAAAAAGGTGTTGGGTATGCCGTCAATTCCAGGAGTTTTCTTTGTGTCCAATTTTAACAACAGTGACAGCACACCTTCTTCGGACACAAAAATATCACTTATAGACGGAGCATCTTTTGCAGGAATGAAAGATGGGTCACTAGCATCATCCTGTACAAATACGGAGCAGAAAAAGCGGTTAAAAGTCGATGCTAATTGTAGTTTATCCGACACGTTGCCACCGTTCACAGTAAGGTTTAACTGCGATTTTTGCTTTGAGGAAAAATGTCTCCAGAATTTAGCCGGAGCCGTGTAGAGAAAGTTTTTTAATGTCACGTTGAAGTAGTAATTTTTAGCTTCAGCGATACTGTCCCTAAGAGCCAAGCGTATGGCACACAGTTTCGATACATTCGCAGGAGAGGGGCGTTGCCGGCACGTTTTTCTTATCCTTTTCGCTTTGCGCTCAAGGCGAACAACTTCCTTAGTAAGCCATGGTTTTGAAAATTTTTTTATGCTTTTACTTTTCATAGGGACAAAATCTTTGATACACTTAAGAACGAGATTTTTGAAAAATAGCCATAACTCATCGATACTGCAATCACTTGATTGATAGAAAGAAAGAAAATTTGAGAACGATTCATCCATTGCATCCAAAATGCCCACGTCATTTGCACGTGCGAAAACCGGGACAACACGCACTTCGTTTTTCTTTTAGGCACATGGCCAAGATTCAGTGTCAATGTAATCAACTTATGATCCGATATTTCATCGAGAACGGCAACTACGGGTTCTTTACTAAGCAGGTTTCTGCTAACGAGAAAAAGGTCTAGGATAGAATTCGCTGAGTTGCTGATGCGAGTTGGCTCTTTGACTAACTGAGAAAGGTTATGAAAGAAAACTAGATCAGTTAACTGTTCTGCAACAGTGCTAAGAGGCTCCGGAATTTCGTTACTCCAATCAATGGATGGCAGATTGAAGTCACCAGCTATCAAAAAATTATTGATGTGGACGACGTTGTCACATAAGAATTGGTTTAGTTTCTCGAAGAATGTACTGTTGTCATTTGGGGGGCGGTAAAATCCACCTACTACTAAGCTGCATTCATTCAGGCATATTTTAGCGATGACACATTCAACACCAGCTATAGGGGAAAGTCTGTTTATATGTAACGTATCTTGGTAAAGAATGGCAACTCCTCCCCCTCGGGAGCTTCTATCATTACGAAGGATAGCGTAGCCTGGCGGGACGATTTCAGAATCGGATATGTCATTGTGCAACCAAGTTTCCGTAATTACGACTACCTGAGGTTTATACGAGAGAATAACACTTTCCAGCACGTCAACTTTATTCACAATACTGCGAGCATTAAACTGGAGGCAAAGGAATGGTTTATTAACGACCGCTGGTCACTGTTCGTTTCTAGTATTCTTGCGCTGAACAAGAACTCTCATTTTTTGGCTGTCATCCCATTCAAAAAGATTGTTTTCAATTTTAATTTTATCGTGAATCAGCTTAACTTTTTACCAGACTTTCTGATGTCAGTTGTGCTCTCCCACAGGTTTCTTCTTTTCTGTCTAGTGCACGCGGAAAAATCCTCTGCTATAGAAGTTCGCTGTCCTTTTAACTTATAGCCGTTTTTCAAAACATTAATCTTTTCGCGGTAGTCAAATAACTTTAGGATTACAGGCCGAGGTTTGCGACTATGACTACGGCCTATCCTATGAATCCTTTCGATAGACGTTATTTTTGTGCCTAGTACCTCTTCGAAAATACCTTTCACAACACTTTGCTCAAGGTCTGCTTGTGTTTCATTCTGTTTTTCTGGAACGCCGAACACCAAAAGGTTGTTTCTTCTCCCGCGGTCCTCAAGGTCGACTAACTTTTTTTCCATGTCCTTCACTTTCTTGTCCAGAAGGTGGGTGACTGAGGAGACCTCTTTAATAAGAGAGGCTGTCGAGTCGACAACCTTAAATTTCTGTTCAATTTCATCGAGCCTTTTCTGTATCACCTTTTGCCCCGCTAGAATCTCAGTGAGCAATTCTTCGGTGGTAGGACCTGGGTTTGATTCTATATCACCGCAAAGAATCAACAAAGCACATGCGAAATCCTGCACAAACATAGCTATAGCACTGAAACACTCTGGGCATGTCAGCTGGATAAAACAGCGGTTACTGGATTTACAGGAAGACGCAGTGTTACAGACCTGCATGTAGAACAGGAACGGATTAGTTGCCATGTTGACCATTGGCCAGCTGACACACCCACTGAAGGAAGCCGTGCGACGAGGTACATTTAAAGCCGGGTCCGGTGACGTAGACCGCGCTGCACGTGACTTGATCCCATCTTCAGTGTAGTTTAGCGAAAACCATACGCTGTCGCAGCATGCCGCCGTGGTTTCATCGGTAATGTTCGTTGTTGCTTGAGATGCGCTGGCTTTGGTCACTCCAGCAAAAAGTAGAATCTGCATGTAGAACAGGAACGGATTAGTTGCCATGTTGACCGTTGGCCAGCTGACACACCCACTGAAGGAAGCCGTGCGACGAGGTACATTTAAAGCCGGGTCCGGTGACGTAGACCGCGCTGCACGTGACTTGATCCCATCTTCAGTGTAGTTTAGCGAAAACCATACGCTGTCGCAGCATGCCGCCGTGGTTTCATCGGTAATGTTCGTTGTTGCTTGAGATGCGCTGGCTTTGGTCACTCCAGCAAAAAGTAGAATCTGCATGTAGAACAGGAACGGATTAGTTGCCATGTTGACCGTTGGCCAGCTGACACACCCACTGAAGGAAGCCGTGCGACGAGGTACATTTAAAGCCGGGTCCGGTGACGTAGACCGCGCTGCACGTGACTTGATCCCATCTTCAGTGTAGTTTAGCGAAAACCATACGCTGTCGCAGCATGCCGCCGTGGTTTCATCGGTAATGTTCGTTGTTGCTTGAGATGCGCTGGCTTTGGTCACTCCAGCAAAAAGTAGAATCTGCATGTAGAACAGGAACGGATTAGTTGCCATGTTGACCGTTGGCCAGCTGACACACCCACTGATAATTGGTAGTTTCGACTAGGCTCACGGAATGGTCCCATGGTTCAACTTCATTCTTTTTAGTTTGCCAACATCCTTTCAGAGCAGGTTTAGAATAGTTACTAGCGAATATTGCACTTTGGAGCAGCACTTCCATCACTGCTGTAATCATCATGAAAAGTTTTGTTCACAAATGTGGATACAGGTTCTGTGCAAGAAAGACAGACAGAATCAATTTTTTTTTTCATTCCTACTCATTCAACATGATTGTTGCTGAATGAGGTTCGGGTTGGTTTGGCCATATTTTAGGCAGGCAATTAGCTTTATTTGCAACAGTTATCGACATGAAAATGTAAAAGTTTAGCTACAAGGGATAGAGGCACCATATATTTTCAGGCACAGAGATTCAAAAAGTAAAGTAACAATTAACTAAACTAATAATATAGCACAGTTTTAAGTAGGCTACATTAAGGTAAATTGAAAACATAGTGAGCCAACTAAAATGTGAAGTTTCGTTCAATTATCAGAGTATGCTATACATGAAACAAAAATATAACATAAACAAATTTTGGACGTCATACCAGGTGGTATGACGTCCACCCTCCAGCCGCTCGACGTTGTACTAAACAAGCCGTTCAAGGACCGAGTGCGGCTGGATTACCAAGAGTGGATGTCCGGCGACAACCACAAGACACCGACGGGCCGCCTACAGAGGCCTCCGCTTGCGACTGTTTGTGGCTGGGCGCTTTCCGCCTGGCGCTCCTTGCTGGATTCCATGGTGGAAAATGTTTTCAAGAAATGTTGCATCAGCGACTCGCTGGATGGCACTGAAGACGACGCACTGTGGGAGGCGGCCAGCGACAAACTCTCGTCTTAAGAAGACAGTTTTGCTTCGTCGGACAAATAAGAGCAGTTGCGATGGTGGTTGAGGGGAGCTCCAAGGATCGGGGTGCGGTGTGCCCAATTCGCAAATAAATTTGGTTTGGCAGTTTTGGGTTGTTTTCCTTTTTTTCTTTTTCGGTAACCTGAACTTGGGGGGTCGACCTATATTCCCACTCGACCTATAGTCCGGTTTATACGGTACGTAAGGCAGCTCCCATACGCTTGTGTACATGATTTATGCAGTCCTTTTTGGTTACCTTTATGAAGCTGTACACCTCTTTTTCTGTGAGTGCATAGAATGTCCTGCTGTCGCCGTCCGACAGCATTGTCGTATAACGAAGCTTGTGCTTTTCAAGTGACCGCTCAAACAAGCGTAGTGCTGCCTCCACTTCCATCTGGCCAGCATTACAATCAACATTCTTCTGGCACAGAGGGGCATGCTGAATGAGCCAGGCAGAATGTCTTGCTTCTCCTTCCTTGGGTCCTGTGGTTCAAGCCAGGCAAAAGTTCGATAGCACGATATGGTCTATCACGAGGCCACTATACATCTCAACAATGCAGCCAACACATATATGCGAGCTATGTCTACGCGTAAGCCAGGTGCCATCATAAATGGCGTCGACGTTTCCGGGCGCTTTGCCGAGCTCCGCATAAAGCTCCTTGACGCGAGCAACGCGAGCCGCTTGGCGTTCTGCAGCAGTCGCACAGCAGGCTTCTTTCATTATATTCATGTGGCTTTGGTAACTCTTGTGGTGAAGCCCTCGATGCAAAATATTCATCCCGGTGAAGAAGTCCGACAGAGCCATTGCCCCCTTGCCGATACTGTTGATGGCCTTCATGGCACGCATATTAACTTCAAACGGCCTTATTTTGGCGTGGGTCTCATCGGCTATACGTGGGGACGAAAAACGCTCTTTGCGAAACTCACAACTGCCGCACGTGACTATGAGCTTCGAACACAGCCAGTACTCTTTCTCGGCGCGTCTTCTTCTTTAGACGAGCGTCTCCAATCATGCCGGCAAAAGACGGAAAGTCGGTGCGTCGGTCGCGTAGCACAAGCAGGCACGTGCGGGAAGCAGACGAACAACGTGCGCGAACGGGAACCGGCGGCCGACGAACAATATACAAAAAAAGCGCGGGCACCTTTGGCCGCATCAGCCAATGGGAAGCGAGGAACAGGGGGCTCGCCTGGTGCGCGCGCGCTCCGGCCAATCAGCGGCCTGGAAGGGGGCTCCGGAAAAGGGGCGAGGGCAGCTGTTCTGTTTAAGCGACGCCATTTTGAAGAGTGGCAAAATGCGCACAAAGGAATCAGCTTCAAAACAAGCCCAAGATGGCGGCGATCAACCAACTGCCTCGCCGGCGGCGTGCGCGGAAAGTTTGAACGAGTTTGACCTGCCGTGGGTTGTTTTGCGGCTCCCGTGGCGACTTCATAATCAATTTTAATCCATTAACTGATCGAATTCAGCGTTCACAATTTGAGGACACTTGCTTATAGGTCTGAAAATTTGAAATATCGCATTTTCTCAAAATCAACTTTTTGGCCATTTTTCACCATTCTAAGACCCCCGTCCCCCCTTAAGAGAGCCAGGAGCAAGAGCATTCCCATCAACGAGCCACCACTAATCCGTGCCAAAGCAGAAGAGTTTGTTCTTCAGCTCGGGATAAAGTACTTTTTGTGCAGTGAAGGCAGGCTTACAAGGTTTAAAGAAAGAAATGGCCTCGTTTTTGGCACTGTCGCAAAAGAAGCTGCAGCAGCTGATGCTACTGTGTGTCGTGACTGGCGGGCGAGACGGCTGCCAGAGATAATGTTGCAGTTCAAGGACGATGGCATATACAACGTCCATGAAACCGCACATCAAGCTCCTGCCACCAAAATCAATCGCTTTTAAAGCTAAACTTTGCACAGGGGGAAAACAGAGCAAAGACAGACTGACTGTTCTTGTTGGAGCAAATATGCTGGGCAGCGACAAGTTGAAGCTCCTTGTGATAGGAAAATGAAAAAATCCTCGTTGTTTCAAGGAAATGACTACCATGCCCGTCACTTAAGAGTCTAACTCGAAAGCTTGAATGACCTAAGCCCTCTTCAGCAAATGGCTGCACACAGAGGATGCGAAATTTTCGCGGCAAAATAAAAACGTTTTTTTCTACTTGACAACTGCCCTGGACATGGGACTGTAACACGACTGAAATAGATTCAGTTGGAGTTCCTCCCAGATTACACCACAGCACTGTTACAACCCATGTTACAAGCTCAAGCCCTCTTGTGCATGAGTCAGGATAAAGAGTACAAGGTGGATGTTCTTGACGTCGTTCATTTCATTGCAGATGCCTAGAGGTCCCACAAGCATAGCGAATTGCTTCAGACATGCAGAATTTTCTTCAAGTGACCTGACATTTAACTTAGAAGACTTTGAATGCGACAGCAAAGATGCCCTTGAAAGGCAAGAGGTAATTGAGCAGAGTGCTTTAAAGGAAATCACACTGGACTTCAATGATTATGTGCAAGTTGACAGTGGTGTTTCAACTTGCCCTGACAACACTGAGCAAAGCATTGTTAACGAAGTATGCGATGAGGAGGAACAGGAGGAGCTTGGGCGAAGACTGAAGAGGTAGCTGCCACAGAAGTTACCACACTTCATGGGGCAGAGTCTGCTGTGCTTTACCTGAGGAATTTTTTTCTTAACGGAGCCAGAATCAGAAGTGTTCATCAAAGCCTAAGTGACATGGAGAAAAAGATTCTGAAGATGAAGGAATCAAAAAAAAAATTATACGAATATTTAGTCCACAGTGATTAATTGCTGAAATATAAACTTGTGAATGCTATGTAAAAACCTCATGTAGTTTCCTTGCTTTCTAAAGAAACTATGAGTTACATGCACCTCATAGTGTTCAGACATCCATAAAATAGTTTTACGAGAGTGTGCACACATCAATCGGCACTTTTTTACATCTCTCTCAGTAAACGGAACTTTTATTAAATGGAACAAATTTTTCTGGTTCCTTCAAGTTTCGTTTACCGGGAGAGTACTGTATGTACCAATGCATTTTATAAATAAAATTAATGTGATGCCTCAAATATGCATATTTACTTTTTGATTGACAATATTCACAAGTACGAACGCAGTCACCAAATTAAGATGGGTGGGCTTTGAGCACGGGCTTAAGCTTTTACTGGGTAGCTGAATCTTCAAACAGAGACACTAACAGACTGAAATTTTCGTGTTGAAATATCCAAAGAAAGACAATCGTTTTGAAAAACATCTTCAACCTAAAAGTGATTTGTGGATTCATTCACAGTCACCCTCGAACAGCTGTGTCACTTTCGGACCCCAACGTCTTATCTTTCGTTCCGGCCATGGCACTGGAAATTCTATAGAATTTTCTTGACTGCCTTCATGATCATGCCTACTCGAATCGCGATGCCATCAAAGATGTGCCATCGTGAGCAGCAGTGAAATGCTGCCCCATCTAGGACACTACAGCCGATGCAAGCACTTGACTGAACCGGTGCTGTCAAGAGCACCAACACTCACTGAGTCGTGGTCGGAAGCCCCCCTCGTAGAAGATCGAGAAGTATGTCGTCGAGGGAGAAAAACTCAGCCGGGAGGAGTCCGAAGGGGGCACCAGGCTAGACGAACTCCTAAACAGAATCCTCGGCATTGGCGGCGACTGCGGCCTCGGAGGCACGGGGGCTGTGGGACGTACAGGTGGCGGTGATGATGGTGGTGACACATGCACCTGCACGTAAACGTCATGGTAAAACAAGTTGTTCACACTATATAATGGACAAAACGGTAGTTATATCAGGGCTGGTGTGGGACAGCTCAGTTAGGTGTTAAAGCTCTTTATGGAGCAGAAAAATAGAATTCAGGAGCGGATAAACTATACTTTGGAGTGGCTAGTAAAACGAAAAAAAAAAAAGGCAACAACCTTTTCAGTCAAGGAAAAGTGTAGGGACAAATCAATGTTAGAATTAAGAAAGGAAAAGGAAGACAACTACCCATTTGTAGTACAAAGCCAGGAGGAAATCCCTACCGATTTCTCAGAGAGATAAGCTTCTTAGTTGCCGAAATATTCATCGTGGTCCGGAATTGCGAACATGGGACCAGCGCCTTTCCGGGACAGTCACTCTGCTAATTAAGCTCACCAAGAAGCTAGCAATAGATGGTGCGAGGGCAAATATATGGACAGCTCGAAGTGCATGAACACCAGTAATGTAAATGTATGTAACGCACAAGTACGGTAACTAAGAAGCCTTTTTTTCTGAGGAATCCATAGGAATTTCCTTGTGGCTTTGTGCTTTCTTATCTCTTCGGCCACTTTGCGGGTTTCTGCACCACTCATTTGTAATGTTAGAATTATATTTTATGACAGCTATGGCAACTAATATGCCATGTCATAGCAGTTAAAATGAAAAAGTTTCTAATATTGGGGGCAGTGAGAACTCCATATTGGCAGCCCAACAGTGCTAAGTAATACGTAACAGTAGGGTTCCGAATACATTGTATTCTGGAGAGCTATGCAAGGACCGGCAGAGAACAAAAGAAATAGCCACAAAAATCCAAAGCTGCTTAACGTAACAGCGGGATTCTACTGCACTGCAGAAATTTTGGCTCCCGCTTCAACCTTTTTATGATGAGACTTGACTTTGGGCTGCTCGTGACCTTTTTCCATTTTTATTTTCAATAAATTCAATACCAAGATTACATGAGAAGTTCATTCACCAACATGCGACTTAAACGTAGATGCTACTCGAAGGCACTTTCTTTTTAATATCAACTCTATAGCAATGAAACTTAAACTTGAGCTGTTTACGGAACTTAGTATGCTGATTTCAAATATGTAATTAGTTTTCTTGCAAGTTGCGTACTTTCAGCTCTGCGGCATGACAAAAGGTAAACCTTAACCCTCATGCCTGCTCCCCCCCCCCCCCTTCATCTCTTAACTTCTGTAATTTTTTACCATTCATAGTTCATAATGTTTCAAATAAAGTGTGGAATCTAAATAACTAATAGCACATACAAAGTATGTAATAGGCGTGAAAAAAAATAGACGTAAAAAAGTCCGTATTTCACCCAACCTAGTAAAAATTTACGTACAATTTTTCATTATATATTGAATTATTGAAATTTAAACTAGATAATTGTATTTGTCATACTTTGGAAAAAAAGTGGGCAAAATTTCATGCAGATCTGAGTACTAGAAGTGCCCAAAAAAAGGAGGGGCGCATTGAAAGAAAAATGGCAAAATTTGTGTTTTGAAAAAAACAAGTTCGAAAGTTAAAATTGAGTTTTTATTTATGAAAGATGTTATTAAATGCGATGAAATTTGCACACCAAAAAGAACAATCCTTCTTGTAGTGGCCACTGCCACTAAAATATGCGAACACCATGAGTTTGTCCCTCTCGGCTTTTTCAGGCGGACTCCTCACAGACAGGGCCGATAAACGCTTGCCAAACTTCTTCCGCTCCATCTGGCCGAGCCTTGTGCTGACTGCAAGCTAGGAAGAAGAAGTTCGACAGGACTGCGAAATCTTAACTAAGTCCAGTGTCGAGACACACAACAGTGCCGATGCCACTTTGCGGCCTAGTTTGTGCCACATACTGTAGTACATAATGGCAATGTTGTCCCTGTTAAGTTTCTTCGACCTTGCAAGAATGACGCTGACGTCATCCATTGCCGCATCACGAGCTTTCCGGCTGACAGCTGTGAATGACTTTTGATGCATTGGTTTTTGCAAGCCAACTGCCGCAAATCGGACCAGCTGCTCGCAACCTATTCCTACAGAGAGCATCGCCACAATTGCTTTCAGGCGCGAGAAATGGCTTTTTTCATTCATAACAAGGATACAATACATGATAAAAGCATTGTTCAGCTGCGCTACTTGACAAGACATGGACCCCGCGAGTAGGCTCACAGCACATACAGCCGCGCAGCGGCCAATGCCGGTTTCCGATCTGTACCACATGATAAGCCTGTTGCGGCGCTCGAAATACGCGGAAGCGTGCTTCTTTTTATGATTTCTTGTGCCACATCAGCGAGAGAAAATGTCGTTATTTGAACAGTGAGGCTCGACTCTTCGCTTCATGTAATCGACAATGGCGAGCGGCGGCACATTATCAGCAACAAGGTGCTCGAAGACTGCCCACTTTGGGCCTTTTAACAGGCAACCTGTGCTCTTTTAGATGCAATATTAAAGCATTTCCAGTCAAGTCTCGACATGCTTTTTTTTTTTTTTCAGAAAAGTAGATGTACTAATCTTATCAAAACAGGCGAAAATAAAAATATCGGTCATTTTGAAGAAACCTCGTTTTTGGACCCGCATCTCCCCTTAACATGCTAGAAACTGCTGGCGTGATTTATTGTGTAGCTCGTTCGTTTCTGTTACGCACTGAGATGTGCTTATTGATGCTCGGGCATGAATATATCAGTGGCTCGCAGAACACAGAAGAGGGGCCTGCGAAACCCTTAGGTTTTATCTAAGGTTGTGCGAATATTCGAATGATTCGAATATTCAAACAAATAGTACAGTACAGTCGAAACTTGCAATAACAAAACCTTGCAAGTACGAAATCCCCGCGGCAACGAAATATTTCCGAATCCCCGGTGAACGTTCATAGAAGCCCATGTATTACGTATCTCGCGGCAACGAAGTGTTTTTCGACAGCGATCCCGCATTAACCAATTTTCTACCACAGCGCGGGCCTTATTTTACCCTCCCACCAAAGGTTAACTGTCGAAAATATGCTCGTATGCGTGTTATGCGCACTCAAAATTTATAAACGTCTGCTTTTGCCGCGCTAGCGTGGGTACCGCCATTTTTGTTTACTTCAGGGGGGACGCGGCTTTGGGATCGTGAAAAATAGCTAAAAAATCTATTTTTTTTAAAATCAAGTTTTCAGTTTCTGGAACCCTTTTTCTATCAGATTCCAAAATATCTACACTGAAAACTGCGCAGAAGTGCTTCGGAAAATTCATTTCACCCACCTAGGTAGCGGAACTTTTTCTGAAAATCGCGAGAAAACTGCGATTCTTGGGCTCATTGGAAAGAGCATTTCTCCGTGTTTAACTTTCCTGCTTCAGCTGGCTCCTCCCTTTAAAAACAAGCGCACAAAAAGCAAATGTTTCAAGGTTGTTTCGCGGCCTTTGATTGGCAGTGGCCGCCATGTTGCCTCAGCTCACGCTTTAGTTAGGAGCAGTAGGCGGATGCGCGATCATGTTACTACGAGCGCGGCGCGTCATCGGAGTCGTCTTTAGCCCTCACTCCACCGACAGCGAGACTGCTGGGCAGGAACGACGCGCCAACGCACTCGTAGCGACGTGCTTCGTCGCAAGCAACTGAAGCTGTAAGCGGCGGCACGGTCAGAATACTACGAGTGGCCGCACCGGATGGACGATAAGATTACTACGAGCGAGCGCGCAGTCTTTGAGCGCGGCGGATCATCGCAGTTGGCTTTAACCCTAACTCCGCTGACAGCAAGACTGCAGGCAGGAACGATGCGCTGGACAGCCTTCGTTCCTTCTTCGGCGCACATGACGACGACCTAGAAACGGACCACTTTTTCCAGTGCGAAGGGAGAGCTTTGAAGTTGTTGCATGGCAAGGGTTGGCAAAGTAAGTTGACCGACTTCTGGCAATAAATTTTCGTTCTGCTGGCCGTGTCACTGTTTTTATGTCTCATACTCGCGGCAACGAAATTCTCGCGAAAACGAAATTTTTTGGTTTCCCCGGCGATTTCGTTATTGTGGGTTTTGACGGTACTCGAATTCGCTTCGATTCTAATTTTAATTGTGCGAAATTTCGAAGCATTTGCATTGAGCAATTATGTGTATATTATATTAGTCCACATGTAACCCCATGTAAGTATGGTTTCACTGCAGCGTAGAAATGTTAAGCCAGTGAAAACACCAATTCAAGAGAAATCTGCACTGCCGCGAAGCCTCACTTCAAGGTTAAATTAACATGCCCCCAAATCGATTCATTTTCCACGTTTAACGCTTAATATACCAGCTTACATGTTCTATCAATAGTAAACTTTAAAATGTTATATATTTTACAGGTTATCACACACATTATACTAAAAGTAAAATTCTGCTACTATTCAAAGTTGTTTCTGCTTCCTTTGAATAAATAAAGTGGAATTTGCACAGACCTCGTTTCAGTTTTGAGAAAATATTGCGCAGTTTAAATGGGACATGACAAATATGCTTATTTTTCTTTATAATATGCGATACATTATTAAGTTCTACCGCTATAAAATAATCAGCATGAAACATATGTACAGCTTTTGACTACTACTTCTTTGCAAAGAAACCATTTCAAAAATTTATTAAAGATTTGTCATACATAAGTATATAACACACGGATTCACAGACCCGAAGTGCGGACCAATGACTTGTTCCTCGTTTTCCCACAAACTATTTCCTACAGTCCCTTAGATACAGACTACCCTCCTTGGTTAATCAATATGTGTGTAGTGAACTTAACTTTCTTGTGTATTAAAAAAGAGAAATGCATGAGGTTTTGTCGCCCTTGCATAGTGTTCTTCGTAGTATGTTTTTGTTATGCATAATATGTCACCGGAACGAAATCATTCTGGTGGCCTATTTGTACTTTGTATTATAAAATTTAAATTCGTATCACGTTCATGATTATTATAAGTGAATATCGAGATATTTAGTTTACTGTGTGTCTTTTTGTACCACTGCTCTATTTGCATAATACTGTTCTAATTTTTTTGTTATGTTTCCGCCTATAAGTGCACTATATTTGTCAAAACCCTGTGTTCCCAAACTGCTGCCATAATGTGGGCCGGCCCTCAGGCATTCTCAAGTGGTTCTTTTTAACCGCTTTTTGCCTGAGGGACACTCAACTTGTTAAAAAAAAAAGCATGTTGGAAATGTTGAAATAAATAAATTAATATACCCCATTCGCATTCGAATAGACATTCTTCAACCAAAATCACTATTGGCTTCAAATTCGCTTCGAGCCTGAAATTCACTGTTTGCACAAGCCTAGTTTTGTGCACTTTGAGAACTACTAGCACAGAGAATGAACAACTTCACTAAACTTTTTTTTGTAACATAGTACAAAATCATGTCTGAAACTGCAAAGCTACCAGGAGGGACCAACCTCTGGAAGAGGTGGATCCTCTTCTGGTACAATTGGAGGAGGCGAGGCTGGCCAGAAGCGGTTCCGCCTTAGCATCCTACTCCGTCTGCCGAGACAACGATGCGGGTGGGAACGATCCACTGCCAGCTGCATCTACTTCCATAGACCCAAAGTCGAGGCTCTCTTCGTCTGAGGAGTCCAGCGAGTCTGATGACGAGGATGGCAAAGCCAGTGCGCTGCCACTGCTGCCATTGACCACAGGAGAAGCATGGACACGCCTGTTTTGGGGGTGGTGGTGGTAATGCCTCAGCCTCGGGCAATGCATTGGCCGGTGAGACGGCAGAGGCGCAGAAGCGAGGCCCCCTGGCCTCCCCGACGTAGATGCAGCACTGGCAGCTGCAGACAGCAAGCCAGAATTCCCCCTAGTAGTAGAATGACTGCGGAGGTAACTGTCGTTGCCGTAGGCTGTGGACGAAGACGAGGATGATGGCGGGGAAAAGGAAGGAGGGCTCACTGAGGCGCTGGGGCCCGGCGATGTGGATGTGGGGTTGAGGTGGACTTGCGTGCGCCGGTAGTCATCAGCCAGTATCCGCTGCATCTGGCGGGTCAGCTGCAGGCTGATCTCTGCAGTGGCAGTAAAAAAAGAGCAAATGAATGAATAATGAGGAGAAGGCTGGGTAGGCAAGAATGTTGGGTCACTGTTGAACACGTACAAACACAGATGAACTGAACGGTGGCTTGAGCTAATAACCATATAATGCACTTCGATATAACGAACTCCATTGGTCAGTCAAACCTTATTGACAGACCTGTGAGTATAATCAGCTATCTGCACTTGAACCTCAGGATATAGGAAAATAATGTGAGCAAGTTAATTTAGTCCCCTGTGATGACCTCAGAAAGATACGTCATTTGCAACCTGATTTCAATGCAGCGGAGTTTCCTGTAAATCAATTCAACAAACTAAGAATGTCTTCAAAGCCACACAATAATGTTGCATTCGTGCTAACTGCAATGCTTCCTGGGGGTGCTTAGCACAACAATTCAATGCTCCTGCATCCCTACTGCACTGCCACATGAAAGCAGTGCACACATCACCCTACTGTTTGCTGACACTACTGCCTTCCTCTTCTGCATCACAATGAGTCCACCCCTTAACCCCACTCTGCTCCCTCCTCTTTCTTGCCACAGCAGTAGAAGGACACAGTGCAGCTATGTATCGCTACCAAAGGGCTTGTCGTTTTCGGAAACACACTATAATAGTGGTATTGAAGCACAGTGATTAATCAGGCTGAGCTTACGACATGAATGGCAACGCTCAAATTCGATTTTCAAGCATAGAGGCTCGGCTTGGACTGCAGTTCAGCCATGGTAGATGGTCAATGCATACTGGACTGAACCCTGGCTAAATTTAGCTTGCTGGATCGCAGCAGCAAGATGTGGTCAAAGCGTGACCTCCAAGATTACATAGTAATCAAGGATATCACGCCTAACTGTGCACTGAAACATCCAGCAGACGGGAGGATCATACAAAAAGCAATAATGTGCAGCCACCTACATGCGTTGTCACGCGCTAACCCTAAATCGCGCACAACACCACCCCTACGTCTTGCCACTCTTCCCAACCAGGCCGAACTCCCCTCTTCCCCACACACGCAACCCTTACAACTCCCAGTCCTAATGATGATGATGGTGCCATCATGTAGCGCCCTCTCTCGGCCGAGTCCCAATGATGATTATCATGCCGTCACGTAACTCCCTCTCTCGGCCACCATCACAGGTCTCCCCCCCTCAAAATGTGAAGCCACCACTACACATCGCCTGCAGCTTCATGGTAGAGCGTCAGCTGATCTGTGTGTCTCACACCGTGCCGACGACCCTTTTTGGGGTCCACTTGAACAAAGTCATTCTGTCCCACACGTCTCACTGCCCGAAAGGGACCGGACCGCCGGGGTGCAAGCTTCGAGGAGAAGCCCTTGGTGGCATCGCTGAGGGAGTGCCTTTCCAGCAAAACAAGATCACCCTCCTGTATTGTCAGTGGCCGCCTGTGCTAGGTCGTAGCGAGTCTTCTGGGCGCGCGACATGTAGTCCTGGTGTGCCCTGGCGAAGTCAAGCACCTCCTGCAGACACCTGGAGACCTCAGTGGCAAACACACGGTATGCTGTAGCAGGAGGCTCTGCGTCGTCTTTGGCTTCAGCCTGTGTCCATGGGGTTTTTAGCTCCCGGCCATAACAGAGAAAGGCAGGCATGTAGCCCGTGACAATGCTTTCAGCCGTGCGCATGGCCAGAGAAATTTCAGGGATGTGCTGGTCCCAGTCTTTGTGGTTGGAACAATAAGCCCTAAGGCACTGCTTGATAGTGCCATTGCGGCGCTCCACCATTTGCCCTGCAGGGTGGTACGGAACAGTGTGTCGGTCTTGTATGCCCCAGTGCTCAAGGAGGCCCTTCCACAACCTGCTTACAAAGGGCTTTCCATTATCACTTGAAATGGAGACAGGTGTGCCATGCCTGCAAAAAACCTGGATCATGCAGGCCACCACACTCTTGCTGTTTGCTGCCCGCAATGGGAAAAGTTCAATGAACTTGGTGAACTTGTCAATCACCACGAGAAGGTACTTGTGGCGTCGAGGCGTCATAGGCAAGGGCCCAATTATGTCCATGCTGAGCTGTTCCATGGGGGCAGTGGCCGATTGGCTGCTCATCAGCCCTTCTGGCTTCTGGCGGTGGGCTTTGGTGTGCTGACAAACCTGGCAGCAGCACACATACTTGGGTATGTCGGAGCGCATACCCAGGCACACGAAATTCTGAGAAATGCGTTTGAGGGTCTTAAAAAAGCCGAAGTGGCTGCTAATCGGGTGGTCATGGGACAGTCGCAGGACCAAGTTGCAGAGATGGTTTGGTAGCCAAGGTACTTTCCTGTTCCCTCGGTGCTGTACAAGCAACCCACTCTCTTCCATCTCGGTCGTCTTCGCCAGGTCTTTGATCAAAGGTTGATCACTGTCAGTGGGCGGAAGCTTCCCTCCTTTCATCACAGTTCGTAGTTTTGACAGTATGGGGTTCTGCTCTTGTTCCTGGGCAAGGAGCCCTGCATCATTCAAGACAGTAGTGTCGTCCACTTCAGGTGCTACAGCAGCAGCCTCAAAGCTGATTTGTGGGCTGGGCTCCGGAACAGCCATAAGGAACAGCGTCTCGTGTAGACTCGGACCTGGAACTTCCTGGTGCTGAAGGGGAGCTCTGCTCAAGGCGTCGGCTGGCACATTTAAAAGACCCCGCCTGTGCTTGATCTTGCAGTTGAAACCTTGCAGCCGCAAAACCCAACGCTTTACACGTGGTGAGGCGTGGTCTGTGGTGAACATCCAGGACAGTGAGGAGTGATCACAGTGTATTATAAACTCGGTGAACTCAAGGTATGGTCGGAACTTGTCCACTGCCCCCCCCCCACAGCCAGACACTCGTATTCTTGCACTGTATAACGCTGCTCTGCCTCAGTGAGGACCCTGCAAATGAAAATGAAGCTTATTGAACGCAGTTGAGCATCACTCTCGGCTGCCTGCAGAAGGCGTTTGGTATCCGCGCATTCATCAAAGCTCGCCCTTTCTTTTCCCGTGAATCTCTACTGGCGCTGTATTTTGCGTTCATTCATAGTCATATTACTTACGGTGTAGTCTCATGGGGCAACACTTATGCTTGTCATTTATCATCAATACAGCACATTCAAAATCAGTCAATCCGCATTGTCATTTCTAGTTCTTCGCAATCCAATGCCTACACATTACTACGCTCTTACAATATCTTGCCAGTAAATCTTTTGTTCCGGTTAAATCTAGTGACATTATTCCACAAACTGCTGTATAATCAACTGCAGAATAATAATGTGACCAGGTTTGGGGCTGATAAAAATTTCCTGTTACCCCCCACTCATACTAATTATGGGCAAAAAACTTTCGCTTTCAGTGCGATATCCTTTTGGAATGCGTTACCTTCTAGCATTAAGCGTTGCACTTCAATTCCTTTGTTCAAAAAGTCCGTCAAAAATCATTTTTTGAATAACCTTACTTGTGATCGTTTACCTGTTTGACTCGTTTGTTCTTTTTTTTAATACCATGTTGCGTGTTTTGGCTTGATTTGTGATATAAAAGTGCATTTTGATGTCTGTATATTGTAAGATATTTCTGCTGCTCTGTATAAATTTTACCGTCAATTTGTGTCGACAAACCGAGGGTCCCACTAAAGTCTCTAGCTCTGGGACTCTCATCTGTAAATCTTGGATTTTGTACCTTGTTTTTGGAAATAATAAAACTTAAAACTTCAAACTTGAAGCACCGCTGCAATGCCGACTCCACTAGCGTCTGTTACCACCACGAATGGTCTGTTGAGGTCCGGAAAGTTTACAACAACATCGTCGGTCAGGGACTGCTTCAATGCTCTAAAGGCTTCCTCTTGCTGCAGCTCCCACCACCAACGTTGGTTTTTCTTAAGGAGTTCTGTGAGTGGACGTGCAGTGATAGAAAACTGAGGTATGAACCCTCTGTAATAGCCTGCTAGTCCCAGGAAGGCCTGCAGCTGTTTGAGTGTTGTTGTATGGTGGCTAGAAGGGGGCAGTGTGACGGTAGCCATAAGCACGCCGTGGGAGAGAGGCGCACAAAACGCGATGAAATTTTTTATGCTGCTAGGGGCGCGGCGGTCGTCGGGAGCACGTGAGATCTCCGCGGCTACAGCCATTGCTACAGCTGCTACAGCCACGTGTGTTTGGCATTGTGAGCAAACTTCCGCACGTGCAGCTGTTTTTGTGTGACTCCTGGACGCGCACCATGTGAATGATTGCGAATAGCGACACATTGTTACCATTCCAGCAAAAGCAGGTACGTGTTTTGTACCCGGTTGTAAAAGTGGGTACAAGTCGTGTCCGGCAAGGGTGTCGTCGTTTTGAGCTCTTAAGAATGCATTGAAACGGGAGCAGTGGGCCCGTAATATAAAACTGGGCGATAAGGAACTAACCAACGACTGCTTCGTTTGTGAATGTCACTTCGAGGCAACGTTTATACAGAGGACTTATCGTCATGTTATCAATGGTGAGGTGGTTGAAATTCCACGCGATCGTCCGCTGCTAACAGAGGACGCCGTTCCTACAATCTTCCCGGATGCGCCAAAACACCTCACAAAGAAAACGCCGACTAGAAGGAAAGAGAGAAACCTGTGTGAACAAGGTGAGCCCCCGACTAAAAAAAAAGAAGGAATACTGTAAAGCAGCAGGCGCCAGAAGAAAGTGAACAAGTAATAGAAGCACAACATGCTGCAGAATCGGAGTTTACTGAAGCTGTACATACTGACACAATAGAAGTGGAGTGCAGAGTGAAGTTAGTGCGGAATACGTGTGCCGCAACATTGAACTTCCTAACACAAGCTGGAACAAACTATCGTTTTCCAGTGAAACAGGGACCGTCACTTTCGGCCTTTGCAAGTTAGAGGGTGGCGTGTTGGATCACCTACTGCTGCCGAAATTGGTGAAGTTCGAACAGGCCGTTGAGCAAATAGGAATAGTCAGTTGTTCAGTTTTTCTTAGGGGCAAGCTGCACCTAAAACGCAATGTTTCCTCACCAGATGAGGCACAGTTGGCGCTGAAC